CACATCTCCAAACTTGATTTTATATATATATATATATATATATATATATATATAAAGAAAGAAAGAAAGAACAGTAAGATATATAATCCCGTGTTCTTATAGATATTTTTATTTTTACAAAATAGTGCTCAATGTAAATCAATTAATTTATAATATATATATATATATATATATATATATTCAATGGACATGGTCTGACTATCTGTTCAATTTTTTATTTTTTATTATATTTTACTAATGTTTGGATAAGATGTTATATATTGATATCAAAACCATTATACATAACATGACTTTAGAATAATTTAAATCTCAATACTCTTAAAAAAAAAAAAAAAAATTACCAGTATGTAACTAATAAAATCTTCTCTACCACACTGGCACCACACAGTTCTTGGTAATGACTGAAATGCTTGAAATTGGAACAAAAATAGATCAAAACACGAATTACAGTCAGTAGCCACAATTTTGATCCTTATATATTTCTTATTTGAAAATTGGATAAATCCAATAAAAAAAAAAATTTACAAATAAATTTTGTCAGTTGACACACGTACACGTGTGTGTGTGTGTGTGTGTGTGTGTGTGTGTGTGTGTGTGTGTGTGTTGTAATGTTTTTAAAGTTTTTAAAGTTATAGAACCATTACATTAGGCCGATTCTGCTTTCTTGATGTACAAAACATAATTTCTGCCAATCATTTTTGCTGCAGGAGTTGCATAAAAAATGGGAAAATTTCCAACATTTTTATGCCATAAAACACAGAAAAGTAGTGTGTACATGAAGTTATATAACAAGATATATGAATAAAAATTAAAAAAAAAAATAACACTGTTATATTGGTAGAGATTCCATTCCTGGTTTAGAAATAGTTGTCTGTCTCCTAGACTGGTTGCTGACCAAGGTGAGAGATTTGCTTTTCACTGCTAGACAGGTCAGTGGAAAAGTGAATTCTTGCTTTTCCTAATCAGTGCAGCAAAAAAAAACATTTTTATGTTTCTTTTCCATTCCGGATGTAGGCGATTATGGCTCTCCATAACTTCCTATCCTTTGTAGCTCTTAGTAATATTTGTCTTTTCAATATCCTTTTTAATCCCTGTGCTGCCATCCATTTGCACAAGCTCATAAGGTGGTTACTTGCTGTTTCTCTCTACCTCTCATGCCTTCAATGTCCTGTGAGTGTCAAATTCTCCAAGACTTCTTTTCTCATTATGTGCCCTAGAAATCTCAAATGATTTCTTATTCTAATTATAAGTGTTCTTTTTGTTTGCATTTTCTTTAAAATTTCCTCATTAGTCACATGTTCAGTCCATGATCTTCTCAGTATTCTTCTGTAGAGCTACATTGCCTCCTCTTCATCTGTGCTTACGGCCATATCACGTTGAAACAACCACTGAATTTAAGTAACATCGAGCATGGTCAGTACATAGATGGATGATTGCTTGAGAATACCAGGGGCTGTAAGCTTGGATGTGTAGGTGATGTAATTGATAATGGCTTGAAATTTTGAATTGGTGAGTTGAGTTCCAATTTCAGTTATGTTTGTTATATTCAATTATATGCAAATACCCTTGGGAAAGGTATGAATCCACCTATTCTCACCACAACTATGGTTTAATTAGTAAAACTTGTATCATTAAATCATTATCTCAAAAAAAAAAAATTCTCACTATGTAATAATACTTTCTGGCTTTAAATAACCTGCAAAGCGATAGACAATGCATCAATCAATCATCATCATCTGTCCAGCATTCACTACACTACAAGAGGATTGATCTTACATAACAGTTCATCACTCTTTTCGTTGTTTCTAATGAATTAGAAATAATTCCATTTTTTTTGTGCCAGTAACCATAATGCCATTCTTTAACATCATTTTGCAAGTAGAAGAGGAAAATTAAATTAATTGTGAATATTTTGTTTCAAATTTGGATTCTTCTATATGCCGTGTTCTTTCAAGACATTGATGATCATGGCTCTCCACAATTTCCTGTCCTTTGTAGCTCTTTATAAATTTTGTCTTTTTGCTATCTCTCCTAAACTCTGATCCACCGTCCATTCACTCAGGCTTGCCAGGTAGGTCATGTTTTGCTTTCTCCTGTCTCTGTCCTGTGAGTATCAAATTTTTCAATCCCTCTTTCCTCATCATGTACCCCAGAAATTTCAACTTCCTATTCTAGATGTTATTTATAAGTGTCCTTTTTGTTTACATTGTCTCTAGAATTTTATTGTTATTTACATGTTCTGTCTATGGTATTCTTGGCATCCTCCTGTAGAACCACATTTCTTTTGCTTCAAGTCTCTTGTTCATCTATGAGGAGATTGTTCAGCATACACTGACATATAAAAAGACTGATATTATATAACAGTTCAGTATTTTTTTTTAAATTTTTTTTTCTGACAATATTTTTTTTTGTTTCTTAGTACTTTGCTTAGCTTTTGGAAGGCATCTTTGGCTATCCCAATGCGCTTTCAAATTTCACTACTGCACTTTTCAATTTCTGTTAAAACATTTTCCCAGATATTTAAATTTTTGTACTTGTTTGATTTTGGTATCTCCAATTTGATATCACATAACAAGTCAGTACTGTTTTCTTTGTTTCTAACAATATTTTTTTTTTTGTTTCTTAATACTGTGCTTAATTTTTGGAAAGCCTCTTTCACTATCTCAATGCATCTTTGGATTTCTGGGTCACACTTTCCATCATCTGTTAAAATGCTTCCCAGATATTTAATACGTTATACATGTTTGATTTCAGTATCTCCAATTTGGAATTTGCATCCATGAACTATGTCTTCTTGCAATTGTTGCTATGTGTTATCTAGGATATAATGTTTTGCCTCTTTTTCTTAATCACCCAATCAAGATATTAATAGCTATTAGTGGATAAAGGCATTGGTTAGATCCAGTGACAGGACTCAAAGAGTGTGAATTCAATACCCAGTTAAGGCAGTGGAGAACTTTCAGAGGGAAATTAACAGGAGATAACTGATAATTGACATCCATTAAAGACATGGCACGTGGAACTAGAACAGTCTACCCCAGTGAGCGAAATAAAGGGTTCAGTTCGACATTCCAACCACCTGAGCGTACAACAGCTGAAACGTTGTAATAAATATGCCAACAAAGATGAGGACAATAGTCCAAATAATGTAAATAATTTCATTCTTTATCAAGAATATTCATAGGGAATTGATAAATTCTCTTTGTAACAGTTAAATGTAACTGCTTCTTCTATTCCAACAGCTTCTTCTCTCATACTTCTCAACAGTGGAACTTCCTTTCTCTTACTTGCTTCTCTGATAACTATAATCTTCAAAAATTTAAATGTAATGTCAGTCGACATCTGATGAGGAATGTGAATCAGATGAAACTTAGTAACATTTGTCTTTTTATCATCCCTCCTACTCTCAGTTCTACTAGCCATTCACACAAGCGGTCCACTGCTTCCTACTTTCTATTTTGCTTTATGTCCTGTGAGTGTTAAATTCTCCTGGCTTTCTATCCTCATTAAGTGTTCAAGAAATGTCAACTCGTTCTCTGATTCTGAGTTTAAGTTTTTTGGGGTTTTTTTTTTGTCGTTTTTCTTTTTGATTTTCCTTAAGACTTTTTCATTTCTTATGCATTCTGCCCATGGTATTTTCAGCATCCTTCTGTAGAACCACATTTCTGTTGCCTCAATTCTCTTTTTCCTTTTCTCTTGTCTGCATTTAATGCTTATATAGCAGGATTGATATTACATAACAGTTCAGCACTCTTTTTTGGTTCCTAATGAAATGTTCCTGTTTTTTACTACTTTGCTTAGCTTTTGGCATGCATCTTTTGCTATTCCAATGTGCATTTGGATTTTGGTATTGATTTCCCATTCTCTGTTATAATACTTCCCAGATATTTAAATTTCTGTAGTTGTTTGATTTCAAATAATAATAATCTGCATCTTGGGTTTTCTTCTCTTACTGACAATCAGTGTCTCCTTACATTGATGACATACAATAATAAAAAGAACTTGCTTAAGTTTTGCTTACTATGTTTAATTATTTTTCTACTATATTTATTTAGATAATATTTTCAAAATTATCCCCAAAAAATTAAAGAAAAAAAAAATTATTTTAAATATACAAAAAGATGTTTTAATGATTCAGTCAGAGAGAAAATCTTGTTAGAATGTTGTTCAGAAGTAGTGCATATTCTTTTTACTTTTATAATTCTGAACAAAAATCGTTTAATATTTTGTCACCACTTACAGTTCTAACCCTAACGATAAAACTAAATTATGTATGTAGTTTTCAATGGTTAAATTTGCTTTCATTTGTTTTTTTTTTTTAATAGGAGTAGGCGGTGGAAAATTGTTCCATATGAAAGTGGGCAATGTCATAAAAAGATTGCAAACCCCTGATTTAATGAAATTTTGCAATCTTTGTATTTGTGCTTGACTGCACAATGTCCAAAGATAAAAAAAATATCTAATAAATTTTAGTTTGTTTTCTAACTTGTTATTTATTTATACATTTTTTATATAATTTTTTTTTATACAATTGGTCATCTCTGGTATGATGATAAACTACATCCGGCAGCAAAGCCTCTGATTGGAAGGTTTTGAGGAGTGTGGAACCATCTCTTAATTGCTGTTGTTCCCAGGTTCATCCTGACCTGGTATGGTAGCACCTGTTAGTCCCAGTAATGAGCAAATTTTTAACCCCCAGACTGGGGTCAAAACACTGTGAAAGTATAAAAAAATTATAGTAAAATTACTAGCAATACATTTTTATAGTAAAAAAAAATTTACTAACAATACATTTTTGTAAAAGAAGTAATGCTCCTAAGAAAATTAAATTTCGACATTAAATGACCCATAAGGAGTTGATATGCCACTAAACGAACTATACAATTGAATTTATGCACTACATTTTATATTTTTATTCCTGTGTTTTTAACTGTGTAAAGTGTTGCAAGTGTTCCTATTATGCTTTTGTAAATTGGAATTTTTCCTGGTTTTGTTTGCAGGTTGCTGTGACTATTTACTGGTTAGGTCGTGTTGCTACAGCATCAAATTTCGAAGGCCCACAGCTTGATTTCAATGCTTTTTCTGGACTTTTTGAGCACCACCATGTGAACCTGATTCCTGAGAAAACTTCTGTGTACTCCAGCTACTGGGAGAATAAACGTCTGCAGTCAAACCATACCACAAAACCAGGAATCATTCATGAAGAAAGAACTCCAAAGGACCACGACGATCAACACGCAGGAGACAGTTCATATGAATCCATTGGATCGAAAGGATCAGATGATACTCACAGTGTAGGTAGTGGTGATGGGATGCTTGTAAACTCTGACATGTATTCACTTCGATCAAGCACATCATCTCTGAATAAGGCCAATAAGGTCTATTCTGGTAATCTGGAAAATGACATGTACCATAGTACTCCAAATATTTATCAAGGTAAGCTCCCTTCTCAGGTTTTCATTTGGAAAATGAATATTTATTTTCTCTAAATTGAAATAATATAAAGCTGTAAGGTTGTTGGTAGATGTTTAGCATGCTATTCTGACATGTTGTTCCTTTAAAATTAATTCCTGTGTGTTCTGCAAATCTAGTTTAGTGCTTAAGTTGTCAAATGAATATCTTCATTAATGATAGATGAATTAATGGTTTGTCAAAAAGGAAGCATTATCCTGGATATGACAATAAACTACATCCAGCATCAAGGTCTCTAATTGAGAGATTGGAGATTTTGAGGAACATGGAATCACCTCTTAATTGCTGTTGTTCACAGGTCCACCTAGACTCAAAGTGGTAACACCCATTAGTATCCCAGCTATAAATCTCCAAACAAAAATCAAAATACTAGGAAAGTATAAAAATATATTTGTTTAGTAAAAATACCAGCAAAAAAAAAACTTATATTTTTATTTAAAAAGATTAACAGCAATACATTTTTATTTAAAAAAAAAAAAATACCAGCAATACATTTTTATAGTAAAATTACCAACAAACAATTTGCTATGATTAATCTCATTTCTTGTAAGGAGAAACACGTTTTTACTCTTGGTTTGATTTTGTAATATTATTTGCTTAAAAATAATGTAGTTGAATAATTATAATTTAATCATGAAATAATGTCATTCTCTTGAATTAATTATAAAGTTTGAATTTTTATATTTAGATTTTGGCATTAAATAATTCATAGAGGTGTTGACATGCCATGAAACAAAAATAACTAAACCAAAATGGAGGTAGGAAGAGTTTTTGGTCAAGCTCTGATCTCAGAGAGTGATAAAAACCAGGACTGCTTTTGATCTTATTTCATAACACCAGCTTGAGAAGTATCGTCACATTTAGATAGGTAGACCATGTGAAAATGGTGGAATTGCTCCACCATGCATCCATAGAACCCCCTTTGTATCAAGGTACAGCAAAGGAAGATGTTCATCGGCAACAATTTAAAGCAAGACCTAAATAGCAAATGCAACGTGGCACTAATCTGGGAGCCCTAAGGAAAAAGGTGAAAGGAAAAACCAAGAATAACATAATAAAGGACTATTGGGAAGGTGGGGGAAGCAATGAGATGATAATCCTGGGGTGAGTTGCATGCAGCAGCAACGGACTAAACAGAATGGAAAGGTTCTGTGAAGGCCTTGTGTACCATACTGTACCAGGCAGATAGATAGATATCAAAGTGTAGTAATAAATACTTCTGCTTTAATTAAAAAAAATGTCTGTTAAGTATCTTGAAAAATAAATTATAATTAATGAATCTTTATTACATGCTCAAGTTATGTGTTTTATTGACCAAGAAGAAATACATTCATTTGAGCAAATTAAATAAAAAAGCAGCATACTATTAGTGTGTTTTTAATTTGTTTTTTTTGCTTTGTTTTAGTAAATAATTGCATATTTTTTTGCATTTTGCTAAATAAAGCTTTCACTGAGATTCTGACATTCATAGATCCAAGGATATTACAAGTACAGAAATGAAACTTGGTGACAATAGCTAGAATTTACTGGAAGCTATGAATATCAAAAGTTCATTGACACTTATTTTACCAAAGTGCAAAAATACAGTGAAATTTCAAGATTCTCTGATTTTAAATCTTTCTGCTTGGCTAATTAATTGCGTTTTTTGCATTTGTTAAATATGTTTTTCCTTGAATTTCTGACATTCATAGTGCCAAGGATATTGCATGTAAAGAACTGAAACTTGGCAACAGTAGTTAAAATTTACTGAAGCTATTTTTTTTCTTTTTAAATCAAGTTCACCCCAAACAAGGCAGTAAAGCCACTAAGACACAAGAGGTTGCTGGGTGTAGAAGAATTAGAAAACAAATAATACTAAGGAACAAGAACAAAAGAAAAGTAATCAAGAAGACAGTAGATAGCAATTGACATTGCATTTAAATTTTTGAAGATTAAAGTTGACTGAAAGCATGGAGGCAGAGGAGAGTTCCGCAAGCAAGAAGTATAAAAAAAGAAACTGTTAACATAGAACTATGGTTACAGCTAGACAATTCAACTGTAAATTAGTAAGACTGCATCTAGACATTTCAACCGTAAATTGGTGAGACTGTGGCACAATAACATAGAACTCATCCAAGCAGTTGCCATGAAAGTATTTATAGAAAAGGCACAGGAAGGCAACTTTATGGCAGTGGAAAAGTGATTGAAACCAAGATGCCAGATCAGGACCAATAATATTGCTGATTCTTCTTTGGAGATGAAGTTTTTTGACAGACTTATTTTACAAAGCAAAAAAATGTAGCAAAATTTCAAGAGGCTCTGATTTTAAATCTATTAAATAATGAGGATCTTATTTTAAATCTATTTAATAATGAGGATCTATTTCCTTAATTTAAATAATAAGGATCTATTTCCTTAATTTAAATAATGAGGATCTATTTCCTTAATTTAAATAATGAGGATCTATTTCCTTAATTTAAATAATGAGGATCTTATTTTAAATCTATTTAATAATGAGGATCTATTTCCTTAATTTGACCAAGGTTACACTTGCGAATTTCCCAGATTTTTCTGAGAGGGACACCTGTGACTGTTGACTAATTTGTGATGGAATGACTACAATATTATTGAAATTGATAAAAACTTTTATCTGAAACATTTTGTAAAGTAACTTCAAGTGATGCAGGGGAAAAATATTACTAAAAAGTAACTAACATGTTTTTTTTTTTTCTTTCTCTCTTCTTTTATTATTTTATACAGCATCACACAGGTCATCCCCCTCAGTGGACAGTGCAGATGGAATGTCTGTTGGGGGCCACTCAAGGCAGTCCTCAGGCAGCACAGATAACTATCCAACAAGAAGCTTAGTACAGAGAAGCACATCAGTCTCTGTGGACCCTCTTCAGTTTGTGAAACCCAAAGAGAATGCTTTGGCAAAACAAGCTGAGCATCAACTGAAAATTGCTATAGAGAACAGAGAAGCCAAGGTTCCGGTCTCGATTGAGAATGAGGAAGACTGGCAAAGTGTAAATTACATTTGTTTCTTTATTTATTGCATAAAATAGAGCTCTTTATTTTGGGGGGTCCTGATTCATAAAACTCTATGAAAGTATAATTGAGGCGGGGGTGACATATATCAGGAAATTGAATGCCCCTGCCTTGCGTACAGTTCAGCATGATCACTAGGAAGTTACACTTCCCTCTGATATATTTCAAACATTTTGTAAATTAATGACCTTTAATTTTTTAACTCTGAATTTCCTGACACAGCTACCTAAGTCTATAAAGATTTTGTGACCTCTCCCCGAGAAATAATATTTAAGTAAAAAGTACTTGTATAAAAAAAATAAATTTAAATTATTTTTTCAACAGAAAATGATTAAAATTGAAGTAACTTGATTTATGTGGTTTATGTATTACATAGTTTGCATTTTAATACAAAGTTTACATTTTAACAAATTCCTGTAATGAATCTTTAATCCAGGTTCTCCTGGTGTCAGTTTAGCCCTAAAATGTGGACATCATCAACTGATGATTAAAATCTTTTCCAGTGATACAGGCAGATCATTCATTCACAATTTGAGTCTAAATGATTAATTGGCAACTCTAGGAGTCATAAGATTACATTATTTCCTGGTGTATTTGCCAGCAAATAAAGCTGGAAGAACAAGTCAGTGATATTTCTATATGCATATATCTTGAAGAGAAAAGACGCGAAAAATGGTGACAACTTGGTGCAAAGAATGCCTAATTCCATTGTACAGTTATAAAGTCGTCACTCACTTCTAACAAATTACTGAATATTAATAATACACTATTAGCCTTGCTGAAATCATGATAAATATTTAATGTGGGCCTTGGAGAGTGGAAACAAATCAAGTTAGATTTTTTTCTCTTTCCAAGCGCCTCATTAATTATATGCAAAAATGCTTCAAAGTGTATCATTGAATTTAGGAAACTAACATTTGTTTTATTTCCTTTTTTTGTGTGTATTTTTTGTTATTTTTAATAATCTAAAAGAATTCAAATTTAATTTTTATAGTTTTTATATATATTCAAAGCAAAGATAAGAATAAAAACTTACCTTCTTAAAAGATGAATTTGTGGCAAAAATTTATCAGTACAGGCTCATGCAGTCATGTCTGCCAAAGGCACTTAGTCACATCCAGATTTCTCCATTAGCAGCAGTACAGCTTGGCATATCCAGATGCAGGCCTCTCTGCAATTTGTCCAGATCTGGGTATTTGCCAACCACTTCATGTCAATAAAAGCAATGGGACAACCAGTAGTTGGTAGTCTGTTTTTGATGAGACACTGCTAGTGTTGGAGATTTGTAAAGATGTTCCCTTGGTGCATCTTGTTCCAGAAATTACATAACACACGCTGTGCTTCACTCATCATTATTCAGTTTCTTATTTCTTTCTTTTTTCTCACCCTTCTCTTCCACTTTTCCCTTAATTTTTAAGAGAACAGTCTGTTACCCGTTAAGTGTCGCCCCCCCCACCTCAATTCACCCTTGCCTTATTTATTTTTTTTTTCTTGTTTTTTACCCATTTGGCATGCATGTTTGCACAACTTTTTCTTACCATTTTAATCATTTTGCTTATTTCTGTGAAATTTTCACTTTCCAAAATTATGGTTTATAATTAGTGTTTAGATTGGAAAAATGAGATGACAGTTTAAATAGACAACTTAAAGAACAGGATTCAGAAAGATTGAAGATGATGATTGATGCTGCAAAATTTACTAGGATTTTCACTTTCCGAAATTATCATTTATAATTAGGGTTTAGATATATGGAACAAATAAGATGGCAGTTTAAACAGATACCTTCTAATACCAACAGGATATGGGTTAAAAACCATTTTTTTTTTTTGATTAGGAAGGTAGATGTACTCAGAATGTTAGACTGTGTTGATAAACACGCAAATGAATAATCAAGAACTTCAATTACAGGAAGTCTCTGCTACTAAAGTACTTTAAAAATCAATTGAAGTAATTCTTAATACAAGAGAAGTTATGCCTCCTTTGATTTTTTTTTACAAGAAATAGCACTCGATATCAGCTAGGATTTATTATATTTTTAATTTATTTATCTATTTTATTACTTGCTTTTTGTTGTAATTTTTCAATCTATTACAGTGAGTAGTCAACACAGAATTAAAAATAAAGGATAATTTTTTGGTGAGATTTAATGTGTCCCTTTTGCCTTGTGGAATATTGGTTGAATACACAACTGCTTTAATTGCTAAGTGAGATCAACTTGATGGCTTGGCTCAAGAGAAATTCTTTTTGCCAGAGATTGATTATCCTAGTAAAACTGTGATAAAAAAAATAACTAAAAATGAAAATAAATATTAATAAAAAATTAATAATGGTTAACAATACTTCCTTTAATAAAATGTTAATATGATGATAATAATAATAATAGTATAAAACAAAAGTATTATTTACATATGGACTATTGTCCTCATTTTTCTTGTTATCATAATGTTTCAGACATTGTGCCCTCTGGCCTTCATCAGGTTTATATTGCTCTGGGTAACCTACAGGGAATTTTGAATTGAAGCAGTGGTTCAAGAATTTGGTGGCATTAGTAATTGTTAGTTTTCTGCCTGACTAAGCAATGTGTACCATATATATATATATATATATATATATATATTTTTGAGTATAGTGTGAGTTTTTATGTTTGTTTTTTTATGCAAAAAACATGGGGTTGTACTATACACAGATAATTTTTTTTTTTTTTTTTTTTTTTTGAAGAGGTTAAAAATCATGCATTTTTCAGTGACCAGTTGCACTATACACAGGTAAATTTTTTTCTGGAGGGGTTAAAATTCATGCCAAAACATTCAGGGGTCACACTGTACATGAAGTCTGCTTATACACAAGGATATATGATACTCTTGACTCTGTGGAAACAGTGCAAACAATAACTATAATATTGCCACAAGCAGAGCAGTTTGTTTGCAAAATATGACAATTTAAGCCATAAATAATAACAGCACAGGAAGAACACTGAACACAAATTGAAAGTTTAAAGGAATAATATTGAAATTTATATATACAAATACTATTGAAATAATAGTTCTTGTTGCAAACAAATTATTCTGTTTGTGGCTATATATTATAATGAAACAATGCGAGTACATTTAACTGAAGTCCTTGGTTTGAGAATGGTTTAATTTATGTACTAATATAGTATGGCTCTCGTCAAAAGTGCAGGTAGAATCAGAGACAACTTTGACATCCTGTGCCTTACAGATCTTGGCAGAAAAGAAGAAAAGAAACAGAATGGAATAGTGTTCTTTAATTGGCACCAATATATTCTAGCTAGTGATTGGTTGGTTTGATGCTATACATGCACTCTTGAGAGTGCAGTTGACCAAGGGCGACAACTCACATTGTAACATTTTTCTTATAGCAGTACTAAATTAAGAACTAGACAAGATATCTCTAGACAAGGGCAGTGGAATGAGAACAGTCTATCCCCATAGATTAGATAAAGGATTCAGTTTAAAATTTCCTGTAGTTTACCCAGATTGACATACACCTGATGAAGGCTGGGGGACACAATAGCTGAAACATAAGAACAACAAAGTTAAGAACAAAAGTCCACATGTAAATAATGTAAATCATGACATCTCCTCATATGAAGAATTCAGGAAGAATAAATCAATATGGTGCTGATGAAGATGATGGAATGAAATGATGAATTTATAAGTTAGATTTATTCTTCTGCAAAGCTATTAAGTTTTTGTATTTAAAGCAGTTGGTGTATTCGACCAGATGTCCTTGAAACAAAAGGAACAGAAGTTCTAATCTTATCAAAAGTTTATTTTTTAGTTCCACTTGATGTCATAAATTGACTAAGAAAAAGTTGTGATAAAAAGTAACTAAAAATTAAAATAAAAGTAATTACTAAAATAAAATTAGTAATGATTTTTGTTGTAATTTTGGATAATTCTGAGCCATTATCCATTACACCACCTGCACATCTAAGCTTATGGCACCTAGTATTTCCAAGCAGTCACCCATCTAGGTACTGGCCATGCTCAACGTTGCTTAACTTCATTGATTGTATGGGAACAGGTGTTTCAATGTGATATGTCTGTAAGCCAGCAGAATTAAAATGAAGATTCTGAGCATGAAATGTCACAGAACCATTGTTGGCATCTCCTATGTAGACTGCATCAAAAATAATGCAGTGCAACGCACCATCAGACAAGAAAGAAGATCGCATATCCACTGTCAAGAAGAGGAAGTTGAAATGGTATGGACATATTCTTAAAACCATCAATCTTTCTACTAGGTTCCATCATTGGTAAAAGGAGAGTTAAACAATAAAAAAATGGTCAGGAATCATCAAGTATACTAGAAAATCATTCACAGACTTGGACATTAGCATGTAACCAAAAAATGTGGAATGAGCTGGTTAGTTACTCAGCTGTTCAGAATCCTTACAACCACACTCAGTCATGGGACTGATGATATATTCAAGACAAAACATTGTACTTACGGAAATACTCAACATGATAATGAATGCTAATGATATTCTAATTAAATTTTCTTGTATTTAAAGTTTATTTAGTAGATGCCATAGCTGTTACTACTAATGCAGAACTGAGTATTCTGTTTTCAACATTTTTTTCCTTAAATCTGGGAACCTTTCTGAGTAGTATTGTAACTATTTACATTGTTTAGACTGTTGTCCTAATCTTTATTGCCATATTCATGACATTTTGGCTATTGTACACACCTGCCTTCTTCAGTTGATATTTAGAATTTTGAAGCTAAAAATTCACACACTAATGTCCTCAAGGACCCATGTCCCAGTGGATAAAAGTGTTAGCTAATGGATCCAGAAGTGACTTAACCCAAAGAGTTGTGAGTTCAACTCCTGGCCACAACAGAGGTAACAAAAACTTGGAGAGTTGAGTTATCAAGGGAAATTAACTAAAACTGAGATATCTAAAGGCATAGCATGTAGAATTAGAACAATCTACCCCTGTGGGCTAAATGAAGGGTTTGGTTCAAAATTCCAAATATCACCTGTAGAAGGCTGAAACATGAATATGGCAAAAAGATGAGGACAACAGTCAGAACAATGTAAATAGTAGAAATCTGGGAGCCTATTCAAATGCTTATTTTGAAAAAAACATGTTTCATATAGTAGTAACTGCTCAGCAGTTCTGCTTTCAATATAGTTGGGTTTCAATCTTAAGCTTTGGTCATAGTTATCTTTCTTCTTTTCTAGGAGAACTCAGAATTTGTCCTTCTCATGGTTGGTCTGCCAAAATAAATAAGGTTCTTTTATCTTGTTTTTGTCTCTGTTTATTAACTTCATATAGATCATGATGAGAAAATGGTATCCAGAATCATCTTAAAATATTGTAACCACTCAAAGAGAAAAAGTTCGTTTTGATGTTTTATATTGTGTAACAGACATATTTTGAAATTTATTCTTTTGATTAATGCTCATTTCAGAACCTTAAATCTTGGAAATCCCGTAGGAGACAAAGTTATCATCGAAGTATTGATCAAGAAGAGGTAAAAGATGAACCAGTTAAACGTACAACTAAAACCTACAAAGAAATGGTTGCTGAAAGGTAAATGGACATTTTGTTTCAGTTATTTGGAGCATATACTTTTTTTTTTTTAATCAGTTCACTCCAAGGTGCAAGGACCTACTGGGAGTGAAAGAGAGTGAAAAGATTTTAAAAGGAAATCCAATCCTAAACAGGAAACACGGGATAAACAGGAGTAGATCCTGTTCAAAAATCTAAGCGGAGTGTGAACCAGATGAAAGGCAAACCTATATACTCCTATTGAAAAGGAAAAGAAATTAGCAAATAAAATCTCAGAGTTCAGATGAAGACATTAGAAATATAGAGTTGAAATAGACTTTAAAATGAACCAGAAATCCAATCCTAAACAGAAAACAAGGGATAAACCTCTACTCCTGTTCAAAAGACTGAAGTGGAGTGTGAACCAGTTGATAGGAAAATTTTTATTTTTCTATCACTAAGAAGGGATATTTGCCTATTTCAAAAAAAAAAAAGAAATAGTAAAGTACAGAACCATTTTAATTTGGCATAAAAGCAAAAAGATAAGGAAAGAAAAAAATAAAATAATTAGAAAATAAATTGTCATCATTCCTAAATATACGTGAAGAAAAATGATTGTCAAATGATTCTCAGCTGTGAACCAATCAGAAAGTAAGAGACAATTCTAAAATGAATTCCTTTGTCTTGGAAATGTGTATAAACATTGATAATCAGACAAAAGGAACCAGAGTCAAATTAATATCATCCTTCACCCATGCTTGTGGGCCTTCCACACAAAAAACAAATCTTCACTACTTGGCCACTGCACGAACAACATCTGCCTTCTATAGCCATATTCCTCCCATGCATTATTTTACCTGGACCTTTAAATTAACAGTGAGTTAGGATTACTAATACCAACAGAATACATACATATATACACATTAACATTACAAGGACTTTCTTATACATATGCTAAAGGACATAGTTGTTCAACACATGAACCTTCCATATGAACTCTTTAAATTTTGTATGTTTTAAGATGTATAGAATTCTATCTTTACATGCAAAATATATCTTTGTTTATACTAATTATATTTTCATTCATTTTTACAAGGCCAAAAATTTGTGTATATTGGAATAAGGATGTTATCCAAAGATAACCACCTATAAGCCCACAAAACACCAAAAGACACATTAAATCTAATATCATATAGTGATTTTCCAAGCATAGCTTAGATGTGGCACAAGGCCAAAAGTAGGGGGCACCCAGTGAGAATCGAACTCACTAATCAGTGGTAATTGTTCTAGCGAGACAAGCTTGCTAACCATTACACCGCCTCGAGGTGCCCAAATCTAATATCATATATCCCACAACGTGTAAACTAATAAACTGTGAATATTTACAAGAATGTTTTTTCATAAACTTTGTACTGAGATGTATAAATCTAAGTGTATAATGTCTACACCTTTTTTTTTCTTGTAATAATTGCAAAGTTTGTCTAAAAAGACTGTTCCTTCTTGCTATTTATTATCTCTAATCTGTATGACATCTGTCAATCTTGAGAAAGCCTGCATCTCAGTGACTTTTTTTTTTTTTTTTTTAAATTCATCTAGTGATGTCAGCACAGCATCTGTCTTACCAACCGAACATGTGTAAGGCAAAGCTGATGTTCATCTCCTGTGTATAAGCCTAGGCAGGATGTCTAGGCAGGATGTTTTTATGTGACATATGTTACAAGTCTCACTTCTCCATATACCAATGTTTTCAGAGGAAAGGGTCAGGATCAATACGTCATTGGCATCAGTGTCATCACAGGATAAAGTTGAATTTAAAACTAAACTGTATTTGGGATTCTGACTCCAGATTTTATCCTCAGTGTTTACTCACAAAATCTTTCTAATATTTCTGATCTAGTTTTACCTCCCTTTGAAAGTAATCATGATATCAGTGAAATTGAAACAATTAGTTATTGTCATTGATTTTGGTTACAATCATCAGTTTATTGATTTTTTTATATGATTTTAAAACAAGGTTTCCCAACCTGGGTGATATCACCCACCTTGAGCGATATAGGATTTTGAGTCTTAAACAGGTATTTCTGTATATTCTAGCTCAAAAATAATATTCAAAGCAGATGTACAAAGAACCTGTATGAAAAAACAAAAACTAAATGGGAATAACTTGATCACATTCCTAGATAAGATATAAATATCTCTCCCCCTTTCAAAGGGATGCACATTTCGGCTTATAGTCTTTTCAGGAGTACGAAATGAAAGGGAAATTAGCCCATATGATAGATTTACATTACAATTTAATTCAAATTCTTTATATGTACATTTGCATATGCAATGTGTATTTTAATTCAATGGCAGCTCTAAAAATATTTCAACAAAATTTTAAAAAACAAAGTTTAAAATATAATTCTATTTATTACTGAAAAATTCAATAAAATTTTACAGTTATTTGATTTTTAAAAATTAACTTTTTTTTTCTGATTCTTGTTTCTGATGCTATGATTTTATTGCTCAGCCCAGACTAGATGAGTCGTTATTTTTTGTGTCTTCTTTCAATGTCATATTTGAAACTGTCAAATTGTATTTTGTTCCTATCTTTGCTTATTTGTACATTAAATAGTAGAAGAATTAAGTCATTCACACACAACATAGACACATGCATCTTACTTATTATAAAACGCATATTGTGTGTGTGTGTACGTTTATATATTGGATCAGATTTCCTACATTTTTCAACCGATTTCAACAAAACTTCACAATTACCTTGTGGTGGTTCTGACAGCACCAAAAATTGGAAAAACACAATTGTTTTTGCACAAAATCAATTTGAAAACACGATAAAACACGATTCTAATGCCAGAATGAAAGGGGAACAAATATCGAGTTATACTTATTATAAAACCCAGGTTGTTTGTGTGTGTGTTCCTTTATATATGGGATCGGATTTCCTACATTTTTCAACCGATTTCAACAAAACTTCACTTTTTTTTGGCAGGTAGTGTTTCTTATTGTCTTGCATACTTTTTTCTTTATTTTTACATTCAGAATGCTTTAAAAATTCCATTTACAAGACAATTGTTTATAATAAAATTCAATCGATAGACTCATGATGATTGAAAACAATGTTTTTGCTTGAGTTTGGGTTTGAACAATTCGTAAAAAAAACAACAAAAAAACAAAAAAAAATAAAACTAATTAAGACATGCATGTCGTCAACCTTAAACAATAAACTTTGTCAATTTTATTTTTCAGGCTTTATGATGGTTGATACTTGATCTATCTCTTACTGTTACATCCCCGGACAACGCCGGGCTCTACTGCTAGTATACACTATATACAAGCAGAATCAGATCTTCTATAATATAGATTGGATGTTGTTTAATATGATGTCTGGATTCTTTAACTAACATTCTTTTATTAAAATTTCTTTTTCCTTTCACAGAGAAAAACGTCGCAGTCTGAAGATTCCATTCTATGCCGATGAAGAACAAAATGAGGTCTGATTTTAAAATTTTATTTTATTTTCATTTTGCTGTTTTTTTTCCCCTCATCCTAATTTAGTGATAACACTAAGCATTTTCAGACATATCTTAAGTGTTCTTTTTAACTATCTTCATTGTCTTGTTTAACAGAAAACACATCTTTAAACCTCTACAGATACACTTTTTATTCATTTGCATTACTAGTATTTGCTTTTGTTAATAATTTTGTGGTGAACAGCCCCGTAGAAGCAAGCAAGCCAGAGCGGCTTGCATTTGGTGTATAGGAAAATAAGGGTCTTACCTTAACGTGCAGCACATGACATCAGCAAGTTTGCTTCATGAAAATGGCATTACTCTCCCGTCCAGCCATTCTAGCAGTATGTGCAAGGATGAGGGTTTTTTTGTACAGTTTGGAATTCTTCCACCAATAGCAAGTCGTGTGCTGATTGGTTGAACTGGAGGAGGCAATTTGTCTGTGTAACTGAGAATAACAGCGAAGAACACTGATTGGCTGGGGAACCATGGTGTTGGCCTGATAAAAGAGTGCTGGAGCCGTGAAAAAGAAGGAGAAAAGGTTGGCTATACATAGTGATGTGTGAAGAAAGTGAGGACGGTGAATTGAACCAGCGATATTGTGATTTGTACAAGTGACTGCTGGGAGAGCAATAGACATTTAATCTACAAATTTATATGGTTTAAATAAAGTGAACAAAAATGAAAAACTGCTCATACTCAGCAACTTTTGCAACAGAAACAAGCAAGTTGGCATCTCAGCTTCAGTTACTTTCCTACCACCACAAAGTAGCTTCCCTATGCCTTTTCTATAAATACTTTTATTGTATATGTTCTGATGAACTCTCCTCTATGGCAGTTAGACTCTATGAATTTAAGCATATTACTTGATTGGTGGCAAGATCTGATCATTTTAGAGTTAAAATGGTTAGATGTAACCATAAGTTCTATGCTAACAGTTTCTTTTCTTGCACTTCTTGCTTGTGGAACTCTCTTCCAGAATTTTGCTTTCCAGTCTATTTGATCATCAAAAATTTAAATGCATTGTCAATCATTATCTTCTGTCATCTTAAATTCTGTTCTTTTATTGTTACCACTCCTTAATAATGTTTTTCTTATATTCTTTCACACTTAGTAATTTCCTCCTTTTAACTGTGGTAATCCCAATGCTTGAGCCTGCCTAGCTTTCCAAAACTATCAATGAATCCTCACTTTATATAGACATTTGTTAGCCACAATGGTCTCTGTTTATAGAAACTTTCTCCCTTGTTTACTCAGTTTCTTTGCAGGTATCAAGATAAATTGCATGTCTTCCTTTAATTATTTAGTCAAATCAATACAGAAGGGATAAAATGGTACAAGTGGTAATCTATATATTAATCCCTTGACCTATGTATGGTGTGTCATGTTTGATATCACAGATAATGAGAAGGAAACAAAAAGAGTGTAACACAGGGTTTGGAAGAGGATCATCTTAGATAAAAAGCAGTTGTTTGGAGTGAGAGGGTTAAATCATGTTTTGTGACTTAACAAATTTTAGGAGATTATGTCACTTTTCTTATAATACAACATATTCCTTTGAACAGTTTGTCCTCTTTCTAACAAATTGGTTAAATTTATTTACTTTTTCAGAGCAGAAATTTCTACTCTACATCTGATGATAATCTCCGAGCCTCATTTAGCTCTGAATCGGGAAACTCTACCACAGGCCATAATGATGATGATGTATTTCATGCGAAGAAAAATCCAATCACATCTGAAAGGACACATCCTGTTATTAACAAAATTGAGAAACAAGAGCCTAATGTTGATATAAACAGCAATAACACCAATAATAATAAGAATAATTATAATGTTGAGAGTAGCCAAAAAGAGTCCAGCCTTCAGCCAGTAAGTGATTCCGAGAAATTGGTCAGCAAAGAGATTGACAGACAAGAAGGTAACGCCGAGAACAACAACAACAATGCCAATGCTTACAGTTGGAAAGCAATCCAACCACAAGTTGCATCTGTCGCAATGTTGCCAGCCAAATCAGAAAAAACAAATGCCCGAATGGACAGAAGTAGCAAGGTAAATGATATTTACCATATTTTCTGGTGTATATGACTTGAGTATAACATGACCCTGTGTTTGTGAAGTTAAAAATAAATTACATCCTTGAGTATAATATGACCCTGTTTTACAGTTATCCCTATGTAATTTTTTTTTTTTTTTTTTTTAAAGTTGTACCATATTATCCATTAAAATCTCAATCTCATATATTTCACTAAAATATTTAATTTTTTTGATACTAAAGAATAGAAACAAACTGAATGTTTAGTCATTGAATGTTTCTTCTAATTTCCATTTCAAAATTTAATTTTCAAATTTCCAGGGGAAAGGTGCTAACTTGACCTATATTTTAAGGTGTTAATTAATTTATTATACTTTTCTGTTTGATATGACTTTATTATATTTCTATATATAAATAAACTATAATAAAATCTTTCATTAAAAATAGAGAAATAAATATTGCTGACATATCAAATACCTTTAGTAAACAATTGTTATCAACACCTGCTTACTTTGTGTTTTATTATCTATTGTGCTAACTGAGTATTTTGCAATCTTGCTGTTTCAAATAAGGGTTTTAAGCCGAGTAAAAATTTCTGAAAATGTGTGCTTGTGTATAAATACACCCCACCCCCCTTTAATTTTCATTCAAAATTTCTCATATTATGCACAAGAAAATATGATAATCTTCTTTTTATTAAATACAATTATTTTATGCTTTGCAAGCAAATATTTAAAAATCACAAGTTTGCAATTCATGTACAAATTAATGCTTTGTGCTTGCAAATAACTAACAGAAAATTTGAAAGCAGCCTACTGTAAGGTTATGTCATTATTTACACATTGATGGTATATAAAATTAACCCAGCTTAACTAAGATGACTTTTAGTGAACTGCTTCTGCAGGAAATATAAACCCATGAGAAGCATTGTCTGCCAGGCATGAATTATCAGGCTTGTCTCCTGAACTATTTTGCTAGTGTCATGAGTTTAATCCATATGGGTACTCCATTATTGCAACCTTGAATTAAATTATACTTATTCATGAATTTTTATGAAAAATTTCAGCATCCTTGCAGAAAAAAAGGGTTCTTTTTTTTGAGAAAACAGAAAATGACTGTTATCTAACATAGTAGAGAGAGATTTCTGCAATTGATGGTTCCTCACAAATTTTAATACAAATAAAACCAAGAAGTTGCTTGAAAGTTTTGTAACTCATTGGTTAATTAAATGGTGGACACTAATATCACTAGTGATGTCTATTTTGTATACAGGTTAATTTATTTCTCTCACATTTAACTTGTGTATTAGTTTTTTTTTATACAGATGAAAGTGTTGATGTTGGGTTTAAACATCAGCCTATTCTTAGGTGCCTAATAGAAAGGAGAGGATTTCAAATTAGTCTATTTTAAGATGCCCCCATTTATTAATTTTGTTCTTTGTATATTTTAAATGATTTTCCTGATTCCCCATTTTTAATAAGACTCACCATTTATTACACATTGAGAAAAATTCTGAACCATCCTAATTATCAATGACACCCCACTTTGTATTAGTCACCTTAAGTGTCTATTGATGCAAAGATTATTAAAAGTATTACTTAAAAGTTAAAACCACAGTGTCTTTGTGTATAAAGAGCAAATAGGGAAAGAAGAAAATTTTCAGAATATTAACTACAAAGAAACTGCTCCGAATAATCAAAGAGAGACATCTGTAATTTCTGGGACACAATAAGGAAAGAAGGCTTGGAGAATTTAGCACTTTCAGAGCATACTGAAATTAAGAGTAACAGGGGAAAACAGTGACTAACCTATTTGATGAGTTTGAGTAAATCGAAGATAGAACAAGGACCACAAAGACAAAGAGGGTAGTAAAACGGCAACAGTTGCTTAGAACAGCAACACAGGAAATTGTGGAGAGACATGATCTGAAAAAGCATGGCATCTGAAAGAAGAAATTAAAACCATCCAAATTTAAATTCATAAATCCCACATTAGTTTAAAGGTGTTTTTAATGTTTTTAAATTAAATTTAAAGAAAAATGTTTTTTATAAGTTGCCCTAACAATTTGAATATGTGGGTGGTGTATTGGATAACGGCTTGGAATGAGAAATTGGAAAGCCAGGTTTGAATTTCAGTTGAGTTCATTACTTTCACTTTTGCACAAATACCCTTGGGAAAGATATAAATCCATCTCTTTGTCTTCTTCTAGCTATGGGTTAAATAGTAGGACAGTTATAGCTCTGTATCCTTGGTTGGAAACCAGTCTAGGTAAAGAACAACTTTGAATTCAAAACCATATGTAGTCCTGGTGAAGAACATACTATGTATCTAAGGAAAGGATTGTGAAGTTCATATTGACTCTATGATCCTGCAATTTACAACCATATGATGTTGAAACAATGGTTCTCATATAATCATTGAAGTTAAGTAACATCAAACTTGGTCAGTACAGCTTGAGAATACCACATGTTGTAAGCTTAGATGTACAGGAGGCATAAGGAATTGGAAATTGGAGAGCAGTGTTCCAATTTTAGTTGGATTCGTTATATGTGCAAATACTCTTTCCCAAGGGTATTTGCACATATAACGAATCCACCTCTTCTCCCTGCAGCTATGGGTTAATTAGTATGACTTGTATCAGTAAAAATCTTTATTATCTCAAAAAATTCTTCCAATCTATATTTTTTGGTTTTAAATAACCTGCAAAAAACATCAATCTATGATTCTGACTACGGTCAATCTCCTCTTCCCCCTCCTTAATTTTTTTTTTTTTTTTTAACTAGAATAAACTTCTCTTTTTAAAGTATATTTTTAAAATAGTTATATTATTGTATACCCTGTATGCTAAGATGTGTCAAGTGGTAAGACACACTCTATAATTGAGTTGGTAGTTTTTTGGAAAAAAAAATATTTTGAGGTTTAAAAGTCTAAATCACCAATTCTCTGATGTCATTTTATTTGTGTTACAACAAATTATCACATTTTGAACCTATTATTAAATATTTGTAGTTATTATTAATTAGAGTTTGAATAGTTTATCACAATGTTATACTTATATACATCAGAAACAACTCATACTTGCCACCATAAATAACAAGATGTCTCAACATACAGCCTGTTTACATTCAACTCTCAGCTGATGTCTCAGAGCTGCATTCAAGTGTGCAAAGAGTGTGTTTACCAAAATTTATTACTTGTAACTTGAAATGAACAATGTATGCCTGTCTTCTCTGCTTTGATGCCATTCCATTTATTTGTGGAAGACTATCCTCAGCTGAATGACAGTGCAGACAAGATTGGTAATGTCATCTGTATTGATGATGGTAGTTGGCTTGTCTCCCTGCAGGTAGCAATAATGAGGCACCGATAGACAAACATGGTGGATAGTAGGTACTGGTTATTGACAGCACATTTGGAATTTAGGGTAAGCTTATTGGGATAACTGATTTGTTTCAATAGTACACATAGTGCAACAATAAGGTTGGTATTCTTGTTGTACGTATGAAACATAACTATCAGCCTGTATTACATGACTGGAGTTAGGATTTGTAAGGTACAGTACCAGTAGGAAGCTGCCTACTAGTTATCCTCAATACTTGAAAAGAACAAAATATATGGTATGATACTAACAGGATATATTGGTATTTATTATACATGAATGATAATTGTAGGCTTATATTATATGTCTGGGGTTTATGATTGCTTGTATCTTGTGACTGGGGTTTGTGAGGTTTGGAAAAAGCTTCTGTACAAATTGATTGTTCAGTGCCAAGGCACAATGTGATTTTTGAGGGCATTTTTCAGGAAAAAATATGTCATAGCATACAGGAAATACAGTAATTTGCAATGTTAGTATTAAGGGAAGCAAAATTAGGATCTTGATTTTAAATTTTAACATAATTCAGATTTTTTTTTCTTTTTCAAGTTAGACAAAGTTTTTTTTTTTTTTATTGTGTTTATCTTCAAGTCAGTTTTTGTTTTCCTTGTTTCAGTTAATCATATAGCCAGCAAACATACCTAAAAATGTGTTCTACCCATGAATTTTTCCCTTGACCTCTATCAACACTACCCACAAAAATATATGAAAAGGATAGACTGAGATCATTTGAATATTTTCATAATTCAACATGTTCTTCTAAACTACAACTCTAAAACCTAGAAAATAGAATTGTAAAATTAGATGTAAATTTTAATAACACTATATTAATACCTTTGGGAAAATCTCAAGGACATTGACATAAAGCATCAGTTAGATTTTCTTTCTTCTATGTTCTATGTCCCTTCAGGACATTTTCGATCATGGCTCTCCACAATTTCCTGTAATTTATAGGCCTTAATAAATATTGTCGTCTTTTTTTTTTGTTATCTCTCCTTGTTCCACCATTCATTTACTCAAGCTCACTAGATAGGTTATATGTTGTTTTCCTCTGGCCTTCAATCTGTCCTGTGAGTATAAAATTTTCCAAGCCCTCTTTCTTCATTATTCACCCTAGAAATTTCAATTATCGCTTTCTGATATTAAGTATGCGTTCTTTTTGTTGCCATTTTCTCAAAAACATTGTTATTGCTCACATGTTTGATCCATGCTATTCTCAGCATCCTTCTGTAGAACCACATTTCTTTTGCTTCAAGTCTTCTCTTCAGAGCGATGCTATGATAGCAACGAAAAAAGAGAGTGAATGTCTCTTTTATAATAAACCAGTACCAGTATGTACTTTACTCCCTCAGGATGTGTTTTGGGTTTAATACTTAAAAAAACCACTAATGCCTTAAAATTTAACTCCCTCATTCTTTAGATAGAAAATCTTGTATATTCCTTCATCATCTTGAAAGAGTCATGCTTCTTTCCGACTTTCAGGTTTAATGCTTTTGGTATTAAAAATGAGGGAATAAGACATGATCATTTTTGTTAGAATTTGGTAAGCACTCTGAAAAAAAGAGTTGGAATTGCAACTGAATGCAAGTGTTAAATAATTTATAAAAAGTAAAAATAATATATGGTTTTGACATAATTTTT